CCCGCTCGAAGCAAATCGAGAGGGGTTGAGAATTTACTGACACTCAAACAGGCATGCTCCTCGGAACACCGAGGAGCGCAAGGTGCGTTCCATGCAAAGTCAAAAGGTGTCTCCGGCAGCCCCCAACATCCAAGCTCATGATCCTGAGTAGCCTCATAATGGTTCATTGTGCAATGTAGGTCAAATCAAACCTACTGCACTATGCATACAAGGCGACACTATCATATGACCAACACAACAAAGGCAACACTACATGACTTGTGTGCACCTTAGGTGCATTTCCTGTGCCTAAGCACCCTATGGTGTCTGACCTCCTGGAGTATATTCCCATGTCTAATCAAGTTCCCAGGTGCACATTTTCCCTTTATCATTTTTTTCTCTATGGTACCATGTGTATTTCATCATAGACCCTTAGTTACATCACCTTAGTGCTACCTATTTGGTTCTGTGTGTTCTTATATAGGTTTTTGTTTACCTTTTTACTTTAGATTACTCTACCATATTACCTTATCACACACCACATTACCACCTATCTGATCTCACTGAACCTTTTACCTTTACCTTCTATTGAGTACCGAGTTTCTATCATGTTTTGACCAATACATCTTCATGTCTTTACGCTCCATTAAATCCCACTATCACCCACATATCATCTGCACCCTCAGCTGAGTTGAAGATCCTTCAGTGTGCTCCTTCCACACCAAGAATAAGAACACTAACAAGCACAGCTTGTAGTTGTAGTATTTTGTCATCATCAGCTAATGCATACTGCATTAAAGTTTCAATGTCTATGGCAGAGCTCAGATTATAGGAAAATTGCTGTGTCTATGTCTTACAGTTTACAGTTTTTGTCTGTGAATTGGCTGATGTCAACTGTTGAACCTTTACATATGTATGGGAAGTCACTCATTAGTAGCCTGGCTTACCAGGATAGTTACAATACTGGCAAAACATATTGAACACAAAAATCATGGCAGGACCAGGATTTGAACCTAGGTCTTCCCAACTCCAGGGGGATGTCTGAACCACTAGACTATCCAGCCATTATAGTTTCCCTCATTGCATCCAATGTGTTTATTATATCATATTTCAACACACACCCTTAATCCACACAGGGATTACAAGGTGCCATTTTTGGGCTTCAGCGGAAGTTGTGCCTATTCTAAGGTCACATCCGTCAGCAGGACTCATAACCTATTGAGCTCCAAAATCATGGCAGGACCAAGATTCGAACCTAGGCCTTCCCAACTCTGGGGGGACGTCTTAACCACTAGACTATCCAGCCGCTACAGTTTGTCTCACTATATCCAATATATTAATTACATCATATTCTAACAAACTGATGAATGTCAAATCGGAGTGGGCTATAGCTGAGCTGTGGTTATACTAATAATATTGATACAAATGATAACAAAGTCAATGATTTGAAACAGTTTAGGATGACCTAGAACTGAAAATTGATTTCTGGTTCAGTTCTGGCTGGTGAGAGAACCATGCATCAAACCAAAGAGAAATGAACCAAAAGTTTGGTTTAAATTATGGTTTTGGATTAGACCATGACAAAACTAGTGATGAGAGGGGAAAGTGAGAGGCCAGGTACTGGCATTGATTTGACAAGAACATAACATAAACCCTAAGTACATATAAGTTCTAGCTACAGTGATAGTATAAGGTGTTTAATAACTACAGTAGACATGCTCATAATGCATAGCCTAACAATGCATAAATCTCATGTTGCATGGACTTTTCAGGATCCCAACGACGTTCCCATGTAAATGTATACATATTGCATATTGCATAATGCATGACCTCGGCATGGCTTTTATGCATTATGAAGTGTGAAATCAATAGGGTGGGACATAAGGTGCTGCATAAATGTATTGTTCCGTTTATGCGGCATTGTTTCTTTGAGCTATGTATAGAGGCTAGCGAGCCATTACAACTGTATCATACACAAAAATGTCCCTAAACCTGAAGCGTAAATCCTGTGATAAGCCCACAGCATACAACCGACCTGCAAAACAGCGGAAAATCATCACAAAGGACACTCCTCGAACTTCGCCTCTTTTACCTACATGCTCTTCTCGTCAAAATCTTACTCTCTCGGACTGGATGATGGTTTATTCATTCATTGACTCTCATCCTAATGTCACACAAGCGGAAATTGTAGAACATTTTAAATCTCTCAAATCTGGTGCTCTTGTTTTCACGCAGTCGACTTTGTCTCGCAAGTTGAGGGAAAGGCCCAAAATGGAAGCCCGCGTCAATGATAACCCTAATGCGTTGTCATCGAAGCGGCCAAGGGTTGTCACCAGACCTGATGTCGAGCGTGCCTTGATTCTATGGATCAGACACATGGAAAATAAACATGAAATGGTGACTGGTCCTATGTTACGAGAGAAACGGAAAAGGTTTGAGGACGAGTTTAATGTCCCAGACAATGAAAGGCTGTTAGGGGAAGCATGGATTCAGTCATTTTGCAAAGCTTACAAAATCCGCGAGCACCGACAGCATGGGGAATCTGGATCTGTGGACACCAAAGCTGTTGCTATAGAACAAGAACGTTGTCACAGGATTTTAGCAAAGTTTGCTCCTCAAGATCGGTGGAACTTCGATGAGACATCTTTCTTTCCATAGTGAGTGTTCATTTCATTTCATTATTCACAGTGCTAAGCAAATCTGTTCATTTTAGCGCACCTCCAGATCGTGGTCTCGCAACACGACAAATGGGTGGCAAGAAGAAGGAGAAATTTCGCATATCCATTGGGTTAGCTTGCAATGCAGATGGAAGCGAGAGGCTCGAGCCTATTTTTATTGGCAGGGCAAAGAAACCACGATGCTTCAAGAAGCAGTCACCAGAGCAGCGCGGGTTCTATTATCGGAACAATAAGAAGGCTTGGATGACAGCAGTTTCATTCGAAGAGTATGTTAACATGATCCTATGACTGTCAATGATACCTAATGCACTGTCTAGATGGGTCAAAAAACTCAATCTTCAAATGAAGCAACAAAACCGGCACATTTGCATGTTTATTGATAACTTCTCCGCTCACAGCATCTCATATCAACCATCAAATATCGATCTCGAGTATTTCGGGCCTAATATGACGCCGTTTGTGCAACCATGTGACGCTGGAATAATCCGATGCTTTAAGGCAATTTATCGCCGTAATTTTTGCATGCGTGCCATCGATCTTGATGATGCTGGTGAACGAGACATTTATAAACTCAACATTCTGGAAGGTATGACCATGGCAAAGCAAGCATGGTACACCATTACATCTGAGACCATCAAACATTGCTGGGATCACACTGAAATCCAACCGTGAGTCAATTACTTGATGTTCTCATTTTCGGTGCTCAATTTTTGTGGCAGTGATCCAACAGTAGGCTTAGACTCGAGGCCTCATGTCAATCCTGCTGCATGGAATATTGTCCGAAAATTCGCGACTACCGAGATGCCCCTTCCAGCAGTCGAGAATGACTTAAAAGCTCATCTTCGTGAACGCTATGTGGATTCAGATTGGAGACCAGCTCTTAAAGCCATCATGGATGCTGAAGGAGACACAGAAATTGCTTTGAATGCTGTAAATGCACTTGCAGAAGCTGCATCTTGTCGCACAGGCCTCAAAATTCGTATTCCCGCGTGTCCACAGCAAGCGGCTGACCAACTTTCCTCCGCTGAAGCTGACCTTATGCAATCCGTCAATGATCTCAAGGCACGCAATCGTATTTTCGGTCAATTGCCAACTCTTGACGAACTCCTGGACCCTGTTGAGGAGAGAGATATGGGAGAATTTCCTGCATTCGAGGGTGGTGACAAAGCCATTGCAGATGAGGTCCGTCGCGAAGTTGCCATTGCAAGTGGTGAAGTCATCGAAATTGATTCTGACGACGACGATGATGACGACGATTCAGCGGCTGTGTCAATCACACGGACAGATCTTCTCAATTTGTGTCGGCAACTCGAAGTTGGGTGCATGCAATATGGTGACCCACAGTTTTCACTTAACTTATCTTCACAACTTTGTACATTTCGTGCTCAACTACGACGAGAAGATCTACTTAATGCTAGACAGACCTCTCTAGAACAATTTTTCTCGGTATAATCAGCAGATACTATAGAAAAATTGATGTCACACTTTTGGCGGAGGTCACATGCATCACAGAAATGTGACACATATGGTGTTGCATATCTCTCATAATGCATAAACTATTGGCGGTCCCGACATTATGTATTATGAGCATGTCTACTGTAGATACAACATTAGCTCTCAGTTGTGGTGGAACAAACTGAATTATAATATACCCACATAGACACATAGATATAATGTTAGCCTGAGTAATAGTCAGTATCTAGCAGCAGTTTCTATAATTAAAACAGCTTATTTTCAGTTATGGTAGAACAAACTGAGGAAAGGTGAGAAAAGGAAAGGGTATATGTACTGTGGTTTGTATTTCAAAGTTTCAAAGTCAAAACTCTGTTTATTGTGTCAGCATGTGTAGCATTAATACTTCTTCTTGATATGATAAGCCACTCCTCAATTTCTCACTGTAGACTCAGGCAAATGCATAGACGTTCAAAGTCATTTCATGGTAGTGCTTTAATAAATATGTTAGTAGTGATTGTTGAATGATCTGATATATAGTAGTTTAAGTTGTCACATTCTTGAATGGAATAAATTATAATGTCAATATGTTTGACCTTTGAATGATAGGAAACGTCTTCAGACAGAGTGATGCCTCCAGTGTTATTGCATAAGAGTGAGACTGTAAAAGGTTGAGGGAAGTCAAGTTTGAATAGTAGCATGCATATCCAGGTAAGTTCTTTCACTGCATCAGAAGCTGTAACATATTTGGCCTTATATATTGACAATGATATAGTTTTTATTGTTTAGCACTTCAGGTCATCATACCACCGCCTAGAGTAAAGCAGTATCTACTCACTTAATTTCTAGTATTAAGAAAATTTATATAATTGCTGTCAGTGTAGCTGATGTAGCAAATGTACAATGAGTTAGAGTGTAATAAAAACTACTCTACTCTATACAGGTTTGCATCTGCATAGCTGCTTCACTTGCAAAATCAAGAATGTTCAACCCACAAGGAATCTGCAACTAGGAAAGTGTTAGTAGATAAGATATCAATAAACCCAAAGCTATGCAAAGGTAACCTGAAGATAGAAATGACAAGTTTAGAGGTAAAAAGTGTTGACCGGAGTGTGGGAACCTGCGGCTGGAGCGGGAAAGGGAAAGGGTATGATAAAATGAGGTTTTGGAAACTAAGGGAATACAAAGCAAACAAAAGAGCCCTAGGTATAGACAAGGTATTTGCAAGGAAGTGACTTTCAAGGAAGTGATAAAACAAGGAGAAATGATGTCTCTGAAATCCAGGTTTGGAAAATGTGCGAAAAGATATATTCCAAAGTACTAGGAGTGTCTAGTGACCAATACTCTACATAAAATATCCAGGTGCAGAAAGATGAAAAGGTAAGGTGTCCTACACATCTGCATGATATTTAACTAAGTATGTAGAAATCTAGAATGCTAATCGAAATTCCATGTGCAAAAATATGTATATAATATGCCTGCAAGTGCTGTGGCTCATGGGAATATATGTAAAATCTCAGGGTTTTCTTCTAGAGAGACAGATGCTTGTTTGAGGCTTAGGAGGATGGAGGTGGCATTGTCAATGAAGGAGCAGGGATAGAATAGTACCGCTTTGATGTAACTCTATAAAGAGATATGATAGAGACAAAGACTTTATTTTATTTGGCAATGATAGCACCAATACACCTTGGAATTGAGAACATATCTAATCAGCACACACTCAACAGAGTGACTAAACACCATATAAAGACTCTGCAGCCAACTTCACATAGGTGAGATAGGTCAGGCTTATAGCTGTACCAGTGTTCAAACAAAACAGAGTGTGGTTAGATAAGTAACACATAGTGAGGACAAACTCATCCCATCTGTTAACTAAAACATTGCATATAAAGCATATAGCTCAGGCTTTACCCATAAGTGTGTCATGAAGTTGTTCAACATGACTGTTGTGTGCAGATATGTAAGGTGTGGTAACCTGGTGCTGAGTACCATGTGAAAGGAGCCACTCCTATATGGATTCAGCCTGACTTCAGTTCACCATTATTAGATCAATATATGTCAACCTTGATACTAGATTTGGCTTTGCATGTGCGTGCCCATACTTGAAGAGCAGGGAATGTGTTAGACTTAGAGGTGAGAGGAGGCCCAGAAATAGAACAAATAATCATTAATAATA